TAGATTTTTAGCAGATTTTGATAAAAAGTTAATGAAATGTATGGTTGAAAAGTTGTGATATGATTTTAATTAATACCAAACGGGGGCAATATGGGTATTTCATTTTCTACTTTAACTATTTGATACGAAAGTGAAAATGAAGTTTGAATTCCAAGGCATGGCTACTTTAAACTAATTTTTTTGTTAATTTTATGGAAAATATATTCATATAGGGTACTTGAATTTTTATTTTCCAACTTATATGGAATTGAAAAGCCTTTCCATATTTATCAATCAAACGGACCCTTAGTTAAATCTTAAATTCCTTACATCAAATCTTAAAAAGAGAATAAAATCAGCTAAAGAGACAAAGATCCCCTACAAAGAAAGATTTCATCCATATTTGACAACCATTAAGTAGAAAAAATAATGTTTTTATAATGATTTTTAGGAGAATGTGTGATTAAATAGTATGAAAATATTTTGGGTTTACGTGTAGGATATTTTATTGTGTGAACGTGTAGTTGAAAATAAGTATGTAAAAAAAAAAGTTTTCGAATAATGGTTGTGAAACAGAGTTTTCATGTTACGATAAATCTCAAGTTATCTCAATGAATTAGTCAAATCTCTCCCTACCCCATTATTCCTAGCAGTGAAGAATCATTGTGTTAATTAATCAATTAATAAGTCCTAAAAGTGCTTAATTAAATTTGTAATTTATCATTCGGATGCTTAAAATTTCCAATAGTGCATAAGTCAATAAATAATATTTGCATGGCTAAGTGTACGAAATGAAATATTTTGTCAAAAATGAATAACCATTTAAAGAAATATTCCAAGTTAGTGAAGGAATTTTAACAAAAATAAAAACCCATCGCTAATGAAGGAATTTTGAGCTTTAGCTACGAAAAAACCCGATGTTGAAGCCCCCATATTGCAGTTGTTGTCTGTAGGGTACGTGAGATCCTATAGAATAATGTTGATCTTGGAGATTTTCCTTTGAAACATTTCAATGTTTGGTAGGTGAGCGGTCTCATTTGAGATGCTCTCCCTGACCATGAAGAGCCGGTTCTTCCTAGTATTGTTAAGAATTGTGGTTCCATCTTAAAATGTCAAGTTTATTAAGAGGAGTAGTTCAAACTCTTATAAATTAGTCTATATTTTCATTTGAAATGTTGCAATGTTTGGGTAGGTGAGTGATCACATTTGAGATGCTCTCCCCAACAATGAATAGCCAATTCCTCCTGATATTGTTAAGAATTGGAGTTTCATCTTAAAATGTCAACCTTATTAAGAGGAGTAGCTCAAACTCTTATAAATTTGTCTATATTTTCATTTGAAACGTTGCAATGTTTGGGTAGGTGAGTGATCACATTTAAGATGCTCTCTCTGACAATGAAAAGCCAGTTCCTCATGGTATTATTAAGAATTGAAATTCCATCTTAAAATGTCAACTTTATTAAGAGGGGTAACTCAAACTCTTATAAATTGGTCTATATTTTCATTTTATTCAATGTGAGATTTTATCCCTTAACATGCCCTGTAAGACGGTGACTCGTTTGAGCAAACCAATCTTAAAATTCGTATGCCCAAATTTTTTGAGTTTTAATCGAATCGAATTGCTCGTTAGAGTTTAATGAGCTCTGATACCATGTTAAGAACTGAAGTTTCATCTTAAAATGTCAACCTTATTAAGAAAAATAGCTCAAACTCTTATAAATTGGTCTATGTTTTCATCTTTATTCGATATAAGATTTTATCCTTTAATGGGTATGGCTAGAAAAGTCCAACTCAATTGACAATAGTTACCATTAACTTAATTCTCTAGAATTAATATGGTTATCTTTTCATCCTTTGAAATTGGCACACAATTTATACATAGTTATTTATATATAAAACGTGGACACTAAAAATAAAAAGCGTTTACTTTTTAGCCTTGCAATAAAATAGATTAATCACAATTGACCATAAACGATTAATCCCTTCATTTCAAATAAGTTCATGAGAATATTACATTAAGCAAATAAAATCAAAGATGTGCATGCATTTCTCATTTTTATTTTGAATACATCCTAAAGAGTGACATGCACCCTCAGAAAATGAACTTAGTTTTTACGAACTCGAGACCTTGAAATCTCCTAAACTTATATTATTCATGTCATTTCAACCTGACCCTTGCCCTTAGCTTTCCCAATTTCCATATCGTTATAAGTTGAGAATCGTGAATTTTCACTTCTTTCGCCTTGGCCCCAAATGGCATAAGCTTCCTCACCATGAGCAGCTTCGTCACCGACCTCCATATCTTCCTCGGTCATCCTTAGAGGCACGATTAGTCGTACTACAAGACATATTAGGCTTGTACTGATAATGTTAACAGTAATTACAAACACCACCCCAAGAAGTTGAAGTGCTACTTGTCTGAAACCACTGTGGTAGTCTTGCATATGGAAGCCATAGAATAGGCCAACATATTGTCCATACTTTCCATAGAACAAGTTGCATAATTTAGGGTTTGCAAATAATCCGGTGAGGATTCCTCCGAGGGTCCCGGCGACAGCATGTGTGTGGAACACCGCCATCGTGTCATCGACTTTTTGAAGGAGCTCGGATTTCTTGTGCACCACCATCATTGTGAACCATGGAATTGAACCCGAGCAAATTCCCATTATTATAGCTGCCCATCCGTGTACAACTCCTATAGGCATTCATGAACGTTATATATGAAGAAAATCATGATTTCTAAGACAAAGTTGCTTTAATATGGCTGAATTATGATAGATGTACACTTTTGTGTATATCCTCAATGATGTTTCCCTCAATGTGGGGGGGAATTTGTGCAATGATGCTACGTGTGTCAAATTAATGGTGTAGATCATGCCACATGGTAGAATGTAAACTAAAGTGTACATGTGACATTATTCAATATGGCTTTATGATCACATTTTGTCTGTCATTCGATGAAAAATTAATAGGGTACACACGTCATGCATGTTGAAAAGAGTTTAGTAAAGCTTGAACTCGCACTCTCACTTACACACCACATTAATTTATTAGAATTTAATATTGTCTAAAAGTTATAGAGAGATTTCATGACACCACATCACAAAAACGATTAATGTTACATAAAGGAAAGGCAAACGTCTCGTCTAGAGTTTTTGTTTCCTAATATCATATTCAACCGTCACATTTAAATGTTAAGACTTGTGTGTGTTCTAATGACACTTTGAACTGCCTTGTCTAAAAACTTTAGAGAGAGGGTTTGATGGGTTTGAGAAATGAATTACCCGCAGCAGGAGTGATGCAAACTAAACCAGTGATCATGCCTTGAACAGCTCCAATTACAGAAGCTTTTCCAAAAACCAGAACATCAAGCATGAGCCAGGTTAATAAACTTGTAGCAGCACAAATATGAGTGTTTAAAACAGCCAAAGATGCATCAATACTAGCAGCATAAGGGTCTCCTCCGTTGAATCCAGTCCACCCCATCCATAAAAGTCCTGCCCCAGCCAACATTAGCAGGATGTTGTTTGGAGGAAACCTTTCTCTGTCCTTTGTCAAACGAGGACCAACCTGAAAATCACATAATATAGACCGTTAGCATACAAGTCATCTCTCCACTCATTTATAAAATTTGTGCGTGCATCGTACTTTTGATGAAAATATACAAATATGTTTCTTCTATACCATCTTGGATGAAATAGATCAACATGACGTTATATATAATCAACCAGGGACGGATCCAGGACCGGATTACAAGTCGGGCTAATACGTTAAAAAAAAAA